TAAAATGGCTAATAAGCCCGCTGCTGAAGTGGACATTGCAGTCTTGATCGACGGGGCCGCTGAGGGACCTCATCAGGCAGCGTGGACTGGAAATCCCACGAAAAGCCACCAGACCCGATCTTGTTGCCCTGCTCAGAACATCGCTGGATGAGGACAAAGAAGTAAGTGAACCTACTAGCAAGAGCCCCCTGGCTGCTAATGAGGGTGTTGTTGCCAGCCTGTGCTCAGCTCTGTCTGAACTCACTAATGTCGTCCGAGAGTTGAAGACTGAGTTACACGCCATGAGAGAAATAGAAGCTAAATTCAACGATTCTGCCAGAGAGGTGTTGTGCCTGAAGACGGAAGTACGGGAACTTAGGAACGACCTGCATGCCAAAGTTGAGAGGTACGATACGGTGATTCAAACTTTGAACAATGACCCCACTGAACCAAGCTTTACCAAAACCGTATCCTCGACCCCACAACATCGACCCACGTATGCAGAAACTTTGCACCAACAACCAGCATTGCAGCCCAAAAATACTGCCCCTGCAGCTGCCCCAGCTGCCCAAAGGCCACAACGCCAGCCTCCCAAGCCGTATAGGCGACAGGAATCGTCTCGCTGGCTGGCACCCAAGCTTCCAAAGAGCACCACCCGATGTGCACTAACGGGTAAGCCAAGAGTCAAAGTGTTCTACGTTGGCAACGTGGACCCCGAATGTGATGCCAAATCAATTGCAGAGCATTGTCAGGCACAGGATGTACACATCGTGCAGAGTGTTGTGTACACCTCGGAGCGCTTCCGAACAGGGTTTGCCAGGGTCACAGTGTTGGCGTCGGACGCCACCACCGTACAGGACAAAGCATTTTGGCCGGACTCGCTCGGTTTTGCAGTTCGTGAATGGCGCTTTGGTGCTGACGGCACAGCTCCAGCACTCACATAATGCCACACACCACCTACCGGTATTCACAGCCCCTGAACCCGCATGCTCCTGTGTTCACCCCTTCGTCTCCAAATCCCTCAACCCCAGCATTCTACTCTACAATTCATCCATCCAACCGACTAAATGTTGGCCACATTTAGAAAAGCGATCCTGTCAGCTTTTCTATTATTGGAAAGGCTTTCTGTCTAAAGCCTTTCCATACTGGTGCTCGATGTTTTCAGTTTGGGGACACCAAAATTAGTGTACCGCTAAAGACACGTGGTCGACACGTTGTTGACACGTTGTTGACACTTTGTTGACACGTGACCCAATTACCGGCCTACCAAGTGCCTTTGGCGACCGCTAACAGCAACTGTGGAACAGTGCAGTGCCCTTTTTTGGAGCAACGTACGAGTAGTGCCCATGGATTATGACCCCGCAACCCCAATCTACGTGGCGGTCCGCAATTCGCTACTTCATACTGACTGGCGTCCGGCATCGTCCCGAATTTGGCCACAATCTGCTCTCGGGACCCCTATAGGGCTCCCTGACCTACTCCATCTCCGCCATCGCCAATGTACTGCGCATCCACCCAGGCCAGGACTGCACTTACTTACGGGAAGGAGTATTTGCAAGATGGAACCTGGGAACTGGAAGACGACGAAGAGGAAGCGTGGGAATCCGGCGGCAATGGCTGGGATGTAAGTCCAACATTGCTGGTGCCAGAGTAGCCACTGCTTGCTTATAAGGGAATCATGTGTGTTGCCTTTTTGCCTTTTCCGACGTCCTCCTCCGACTGTACTCCCGATCCCAGGACTGAACTTACGGGAAGGAGTGCTTCCAAGATGGGAGACGAAGAAGAAGAAGCCGCTGAATCCGGCGGCAATGGCTGGGATGTAAGTCCAACATTGCTGGTGCTAGAGTTACCACTGCTTGTTTATAAGGGATTCATATGTGTTGCCCTTTTTTGCCTTCTCCCAAGTTCTCCTCCGACTGTACTGGTGAACGCTGTCACATATTTTGCCCTTTCCAGGCAGTAGAAGGAAGGGGGGGGGGGCAGCACATCCTGGCATCCAGGAATGCTAGGCCCTAGGAACTAGGCAATCTGACCTTTCCTCTTACCCCAATAATGGTATGGATGGGGAGTTCTTGAACATCCTCAGTCTTGTTAGAGTGAACTGTGCAACTCGGCAATCGGTGATAGCAGAGGACCAATGCCGATGGCGATGCTCCTTCCTTTTTCTCTGTCACAGGCTGCGTTCTCGAGAGGAAGCGTTATTTCTGCATTCCAAGAAGGACGGCACAATGGTGAGTGGAACTTCGTTGGTGTGCAGCCTTGCTAGTTGAATTGTAAATCAACCATTCTTCCTGTCTCTGACTTCTTCAATGTCCTCCTCAGTGTCGGACTGTCCGCGTCGCATTGAACTGGTCCGATGAGGCTGCTATTGCACACACAGTGAGGGAACTCCCATACGGGAACTCGGAAGTACTGCTACAGTACAGGTAAGGTGGCCATTGCTTATGTGCGTGCGCCGTTGTCAAACTTCTAAGCCAGCTGTACTCCAACCTACATGGAGTCTGAAAGTAGTCAGCTGGCGAACTACAATAATTTGAAGTTTAGACGTTATATGCCACGGCTTGGTCAGCTTTTTCAGTTTCACAGTGCATTGCACTCAGCACCGCTTCTCGGAGTATCTTGTCAGGATAGCTTTGGAACGCATCCTCCCCAGTGGGGGAACGGCAAATGTGCTGTTCATTTTTTAGGCTTGCTTTTATGGTACGTACAAATCCCCATTGAAAAGACATAGTGGAGACCAGAAACTGCAAATAGATGTTGGGAACCGCGAAGACCACCCTTCCTTGTCAAGTTCCCTGAGGGTGTGGAGGGGGGGGGGGGGGAGCGGAGGAGGGACATTCCTGCACTGCTTAAAGCAGGATTCACAGGAGCATTTTCAGAAATTGCTTGTACATTTGTACCAGTTGTAACCGACAAACGCATTCTCATTGAGGTTTGACTTGAGGCACGTCAGCAAGGCGCTGTTGCATCGCTGACGTCTTGTCCTGATTCTGTGAATGGTATTTTGTGCGAGTTTGCATCGCACGCAGAATCGCAGGTCGTGTCGCATTGCGCAGCACACTGCCAAATTGCTTCTGTGAATCCCACGTGAATGGGAATTCCAATGGGAATGTAATCCATTGCCAACAGGTGTATTCCCGAGCTGCGCATCATACTGCAAAATTGCTCCTGTGCATGCAAATGGATTTCATTGCTCTTCTGTAGTTTGGGAAATTCTCGATTATGATAATTCTGCGTGTGTGTGTACACCAGCCCTGAACATACATGTAGGTGACCCATTTGTGGTGTCTCATAGCCTACCTCACGACCTTATGCTTGCTTTCTGTATCACTTGTATCTTGCAGGTATATCACCCCGTGACGACCACATCGAAGTCTGAAATTGAAGTGTGAAGATGCTTCAGCAACCCCTTCATATTTTTCCATTGCTTTTATTGTGCTTCTACTGTGCATGTGTGTAACCTGTGGGGTATGCATGTGATGACAATGTATGCCGATGACACGGTCAGATTTTGTCCATGCGTGTAACGTACACCTGCATGCTATCGTTGAAAAGGATCTGCCACTTACGATCTTCGGACGAGTATCAGGTCAGCTTGGTTTTGTGTGGGCTGTACCAGATGCTGTTCACTTCTCTATCTGTTGGATATGTGACTTTCTGCAAGTTTCTGGTGTATGGTGGCCACTTCTTTGCTCGTCTTTGTATGACATTACAATAATTCTGTATTCACTGCTTCCATGGTGTGGTCTGCAAACTGCAATCCTTAGGCAAATATCATCACGGTTTGCAATGTTGTGCTTTGGCTGCTAGCTTACCTACACATTGTAGTTGAATTATTTTTGTTTCACAACTGACTTCCTGATGTATGGTGGCCACTGCTTTGCATGGCATTATACAATGTTCATCAAGAATTTCCTGTTTGGGTCGTGTGTGTGTGTATGTATGTGTGTGCGTGCCCATGTGTGTGTGTGCCATGTGCATGTGCGTGTTTGTCACAAGGTGTCTGTGTTCGGGGTAGCGAGGTGGGGAGGGCTGGAATGTATCAGTGTGCTACTGCAGTTGCATGGCTACATACAGTGCATCGCGCGCGTGCTCACCATGTTTATCTTCGGAGCTGGGCTAGGGTGGGGGAGGGAACAGAAAAAGAACTGAAATTACCCATATAAAAACTGCTCTGTGAGCGGTTCTGAAAAACCTCTACTGGTGCAGCCCCGTCGTAAAAGTAAGAAATTAGAACTGGCGCATTGTCCTCCCAAATGTGAACTGATCCACCTAAATCGCGATTGACGGGACCCGAACGCACCAGTAGCACGAGGTCGGGAGGGCACAGGATCACAGCCGGCGTCGGCGCTGATCAAGTTACCATACAACACTTAGATCTACCCCGAAGCCCACCTTTGCCGCTTTGGCTTTGGCTATGGACCAGCGTCCCCAGCTGCATCCACAGGTAGGAACCTCGTGCTACTGGTGCGTTCGGGTCCCGTCAATCGCGATTTAGGTGGATCAGTTCACATTTGGGAGGACAATGCGCCAGTTCTAATTTCTTACTTTTACGACGGGGCTTGTAATCGAACTACAAGTATGACTTTCTCTTGTATGACTCTGTCTTGTGTAGTTGACATTACTTCTTACCTCTTGTTGCCTGTCATGTGATTCATGTGCGTGATTCATCCTGTGGTTGCGGCTTTCTTGTACGCATGCATGTATGCTGTGCAGCTGTTTGCGCTTGCTGTGGTACGCATGCATGCTCCAGTTCCTTTCTGATACACGCTGTTCTTAGCTCTTTTTACAGTAGTTCTGGTGTGTTCCGATGGCGATGGTTTTGTGAACAAACTTCTCTCTCTTGTTGTACTGTCGTATGTATTAGCACAAACAATAACCTTCCAGTTAGTATAATATCTTGTCCAGACCTGTGTGGTGTTTTGGCCGTGGTATGCCTGAGACCGGTTGTGGGGGTAATTTTCTAACAGCGTGGTGCCGAAACCCGGGAATTGTTTGTGCGTAGACGTCAGTTTTAGTGTATGCCTCGTCGTCGTCGTACGAGACAGAGAGCGAGACAAGGAGAGGTTGAGGCCTTGCCTGTATCGGACAGTGAAGCAGTTGTCGTTGCTTCTGAACCTGAAGCCATGTCTGGCCTGAAGCTGGACGGCTTGATGAAGTCCTTCGGTGGGAAGGCAGGTGACAGCTTTGATGACTTTTGGTTGAAGTACTCTGTGCTGTCGGAGGTGAACGGTTGGGACACGGCTGATAAGCGCATGCAGAGACTTCCTCTGTTTTTGGAAGGAGATGCGCTGCTCGTGTTTAGTAGAATGGAGGCTGCGGATAAGAAGGACGAGGATAAGGTGTCCGCTTTGCTGCAAAAGTCGTTCGGCGTGACAGGAAGTGATGCGTACGAAAAATTTACGTCCCGCCGGTTCCTTTCTGATGAAAGTCCTGACGCGTACGTGTCTGATTTGCAGCGGCTGCTGGCTGCATCAGGTCACAAGCTGACAGGTGATGACGATTCTGTCGTTATTGAGCAGCTGCTGGCTGGTCTCCCTTTTGATTTTGCCAAGGAGATCCGCCTGTCAAGTGCTGGGAAAGACTTACGTGTGTCCGACTGTGTGGAGAAGTTGAGAGCACTGCGCAAGGTTGTGTCAGCAAGGCCAGGTATTGCTGGTGCAGTGGTGTCTGGCCCTTCCGGTGGGAAGAAGTCCCATATTGTCTGTCATAAGTGTGGTGAACCTGGGCATATACGGAGACATTGCCCGGAAGGACGTGGTGGCGGCAGCAGTGCTGTGAAGAGCAGTGGAGGCAGCGGTGGTGGCCAGCAGAAGTCATCAGGGCCACGAAATGTTACATGTTTCTTCTGTGAGCAACCGGGTCATTATCAACAGGACTGTGAGCTCAAAAAGCAATGGCTCCGAGACCAGAAGAGAGGCAAAGGCGTGGCCGGAGCGGCTGTGGAGATCGCCGATCCATGTCTCCTAGCTGCAGTAACTACCACGCGACCTGGTTTGCCTCGTGTGTTTGTAGACGTGGCTGTACCTGACAGGGATGTGTGGAGGCGCGTGCAAGCCATCATCGATACTGGCTCCTGTCGCACGCTCATTAGCGAAGCACTTGTTGACAGTTTGGGTGTCCCTGTTACTGAGAGTCTGGGCAAAGGAATTGTTGCCTTGGATGGAGAGCAGCTGACTACACGTGGCGTGGTGGAACTGCAGTTCAAGCGTGATGATGGTCCTGTGTCAATTCCTGAGTCAACTATGTCCGCTGTTGTGCTTCCTGACCTGAACGTTGTGTCGGCTGACGTGCTGATCGGCTCAGACTTCGTGACAATGTGTGGGGGTCTGCATATGGAATATGATGACGGAAGGCTAGCTGGTGTGGTGATCGGCCCGGCCCAGGAGAAGTCGGGTAAACGCGCACCTGACGTTGTCGGAGCTGTACCTACACCGACTAAGCTCCCTCGGCATGTGCAAGTCACAGAAGACGCCGACACAGGCAATGTCGTGCTTACCACCAGTGATGGCACGGTGTGCTGGAACGCTGAAGAGCGACACTGGGAGATATCGTGGAAGTGGTCAAGCAATAATGAGCCTGAGGGTTTCATTGGCTCCGGTGTGGCTCAGTATTCGCGGAGCGGTCTGTCGGAATCGCAAGAGAATACCTTCTGTGACGAAGTAGACGGATGGATTGAGAAGGGGTGGCTCATACCTCATGATCCAGCGGTCCACGGAGAACCGGCTGCAGTACTTCCCCTGCTAGCAGTCAAACAAGAGCACAAGTTGACGACGCCTGTGAGACCGTGTTTGGACTACACTGCTTTGAACAAAGAGCTGGTATCCAACCCTGGTGCTGAAGCACCTGCGTGCCAAGAGAAGCTGCGGCAGTGGCGCGGTGCAGGAGATCCCGATTCATATGCTCTGATTGATATACGGAAGGCATATTTGCAAGTCCGTGTGTGCCCTGACCTATGGCGCTACCAGGTGGTGAAGTGGAAAGGTCAGACGTATGTCCTAACAAGAATGGGCTTTGGTCTGTCAGTAGCACCTAAGCTGATGGATTTGATTGTTCGGTACTCAACTCGCCAGTTTCCGGCTGTGGCCAACAAGGCTCTTCAATAATACTTCACACAAGGGTCGTAGGAGACATCGTAGGCAACCTGGTTCCAACAATCACTCGATTGAAAGACGAAGAGACAAAAGACAAACGACAAGAAAACCTGAACAAGAAGGCCCGAAAAGGACCAAGATGTCCAGAAAAGGATAAAGAAAATAACGTAGTACCAAATTATCGTACAACACAGCAAGATGCGGGGGAACCATGCGCGCGACCGCGCGGGTTCACAAAAGCTCCCGTGAAACAGATATGGATACGTGATGTCAAAGAAAGCGAAAGGGTCAGGAGTACAAATCTGACACGGCTTCTAGATATGGATACGTGATGTCAAAGAAAGCGAAAGGGTCAAGAGAACAAATCTGACACAGCTTCTAGAAGACACACTACACTACTACGTCATGAGTACGCGACTGCACAGTCAGCGTAACTATAGAAAATATGGCGACTGGTCTGCAAGCAACGACCAGGTGCAGAACAAAATCAAACAAACAGAAATATTCAAAATACGGTTGTGAAAGAAAGAAGAAAAGAATGAAGCTGAAGGGTTACACCTGTCAGAGGGTGTTAGCACCCGACGCTGGGTGACAGCAAACCCTGTCAGGTAGTGGTAAATAATCCTAACACTTCTGCAGCAGAACTTCAATCGCAGCGAAAATACATCTCAGGTAAGAAACTCTAAAACTCTAGCAATAATTCGAGCGTCTCAATCTATCGTGATCCACTCGCAACATACGCATGCAAACAACTCGAAACAGAGAATGTATCGGTCTGCGACATCCTCCCCACCAAAGCACATCTCACACATACACAAGTCACTCACGATACCTCTGAGGGCGTTGCACAAGACGTGTACGCGTGCGTACTGGTTGCTGTACTTGTGGCTGTGGCTTGAGTGTGGCTTTCTCACTAATCACTTCCTCTGGATCATCAGCAATACTTGCAGGCACGACATCCTCGGGCTCACTATCAGCATCAGCAGTTGGTGACTCATTACGGCTGGAGATCTCCAACGGCACCAAGCGCTGAATTGGCCGCAGCAACTCATGTCCGCTCACTCGGACCTTCGCGACACGCTGGCGGCCATCTCGACCAGTGTGCAGTTGCAGTATTCTGGCCAACTTCCAGCACACACGCTTCTTGGTATGATCTGCCAGGAACACGACATCGCCAACTGCTAGTGAATGACCCTTGCGGTCATGGTGACTGCGGAGGCTCAACAAATACTCCTCAGTCCATCGGGCAGTGAAGTGCACTCTCAGCTGCGAAAGATACTGCAGACGACGGTTCGCATCAGTGTGAGACAAGCAACTCTCAGCATTCGAGTCAGACTGGACACTAGCAGCACCCAGCAACATCGACGGAGACAGCGGCAAGTCTTCGTCCTCCGTTACATACGTGATCGGACGGTCATTGACGACATCCTGGACTTCCGACAGCAGAGTCCGTAGCTCCGTCTTGGATAGGAGCGACTTGCCTAACACACGCCGCAGTGGGGACTTGACAATAGCAACCAGCCGTTCAAAGAACCCACCATGCCATGGTGCTGCTGGGGCATTCAGTCGCCAATCCACTGAACTGACGAGACGTCGGGATGCAGCTGCGAACGCTGTGCCGTTATCCGACCGAACTAGAGTAGGCTTGCCGAATCTCGCGACGAAACGACGATACGCTAGGAGGAACTCTTCCTCCGACAGACTCTCGACAAGCTCAAGATGCACTGCACGTGTTGTCGCGCACACAAACAATAGAATCCACACCTTGCTGGATATGCCGCGGTCCTTGACGAGCAGCGGGCCAGCGTGATCGACACCGACAACGCAGAACGGCCGCTGATGCAACACACGATCAGCTGGGAGCGGTGCAGCTCTCTCAGACGCAGTAGGGGCATCAGCCCGACGACAGACAACACACTTCTCCTTGACTGCACGCAACATGCGTCGACCACCAACAATCAGATACCGGCGGCGCACAAACGCAAGGCACGCTTCCACACCCTGGTGGAGCCGGCTAACATGGACATTCGTCAGCATCAGCCTTGTCAGGTAGTGCTTGGCCAGCAGTACTGGCTGCGTCGTGTCGGGATCCAAGTCGGCAAACTGCAGTCGTAGCGTCGCACGAATCAGACCATCGTTGTCGAGGAACGGGCTGAACTGGCCAATCTTCGACGACTTCGGTACGCTACGGCCATTGCGCAGCTCAGACAACTCTGCCCGAAAGCACTCCTCCTGGATAGCTCTCAACAGTACCTGATCTGCCTTGGCACTGACAACTGCTGCGTCCTTGTACTTCCAGGAAAGCATCCGGCGAACAACTCCCTGGACCCGTGTCCACTTGGACAAGCGAAGCCACCACTGGTTCTTGGCATCAGGTGTCAGCACTGCTTTGACGTGCAGCTCCATCTGCGACTCGTCAGTAGGCACTGGTTCTTCCTTCCTCGGCCACTGACCATCTCGCAGCCACGCTGGGCCCTGCTGCCAAACATCTCCCATCAGCTCCGTAACAGACGCACCACGACTAGCGATATCAGCTGGGTTGTCAGCTCCAGGGCAGTGCAACCACGTAACCGAGTGCTGCTTAGCGATGGCTTGAACTTCGCTAACACGATTCGAGACGTATGTCTTCCAGCGATACGGAGGTGCTGCCAACCACTGGATCACTGTCATAGAATCCGACCAAGCGTGCACAGTGGCTGGTGACACGGATGACTGCTCCAGTACAAACTGTAGACAACGGGCACCGATGAACGCTGCTTGCAGCTCCATGCGGGCCAAGGTATGAGCTTTCAGCGGGCTCACCTTGGACTTCGCAAACACTAGCCGGCTGACTCCGTCGAACACGTAGTAGATGCAACAGCCATAACCAAGCTCCGATGCATCACAGAACAGGTGCACTGCAGGCGCGTCGCTTCTGTCACCTAGCCAACGTGGGAAACATAGCGATGGGAGCAGATGACGGTCTTGCCACCACTTGATAGCGATACTCGCTGACTCTGCACTCAGCGGCTGATCCCAACCACTTGCCAGCTTCCAGAGTTCCTGCATCAGGATCTTGCCCTGCAGCGAATATGGCGACACGAATCCGAGGGGGTCGTAAATAGAAGCTACCGCCTTCAGTAGCGTGCGCTTCGTCCAGGGCAACTTGACGTCATCCGTCTTGCCGACTGGAAAGCACAGCTCGTCAGTTACCGTCCAGGTACAGCCAAGGACCTTAGACTCTTCTGCGGCTTCATCAGTACTCATGCGCCACTTGCGCAAATCCATGCCGACAGTACTCAGGCTGTGAACACTCTGCGTGCGGAATTCGTCAGCTTCCTGTGGAGTGGATGCACTGGCCACGCAGTCATCAACATAGAGACTTTCACGTAGGTGGTTCAGTTGCTCGCGTGACTTGGGATCAAGCTGCTCTGCTTCGGCATCCAGATGGTGTTGCAGGATTGCCGTCAAAATAAACGGAGAGCAATTGACACCAAATGGCAAACGGGTGAGGCGGTACGTGGTCATCTCGCCCTTCTCATTGGGCCACAGAAACCGGACATAGCGACGGTCAGCTTCCTCCAGGCCGACCATGAAGAAGGCCTTCCGTATATCTGCCTGCATCGCAATTTCCCGCTCTCGGAAACGCAGCAGCAAACCAGAAATACTCGGTAGGAGAGACGGACCGGGGTCCAGAACATCATTCAGGGATTTCCGACCCTTCAGCGCTGCTGAGGCATTGAAGACAACTCGGACTTTCGTTGTTGTCGACTCAGCTTTGAAAACAGCATGGTGAGGCATATAATACCCATCCTGCTCCGGGTCTGGGTCGACTTCAACTGCGCCCAGCGCCATGTACTCAGCCAGCAAAACTGCGTCGTAGCGCTGCCTCTCAGGGGTGTCTGGGCCCAGCTTCTTCAGCTGCGCATTCGCTGCTGCCAACGCCTGCCACCGATTGTCCGGTGGACGCTCCTCACTGGCCCATAACAGCCCGACCTTGAAACGACCGTCTTCCACGGCAATGGGGAAAGCTGGCCAGTTGCTGGACTGACCCACAGGCGCTTCCATTTCCCAGAGTCGGTCGATCTGAGACTGTACGACTCCCACCGTGCGCGTTGCTGACTTCCCGGGTACAGGCTCACACACTGGCCCAACAATCAGCCAGCCAAAGTCCGTCCGCCAGACAGTCTCTCCACCACTCTGCCGTTTCTCTTGGAAGAGGTCAAACGCGTGGTCAGCACCGATCATTAAATGGATCTCATCCGAGACCCCAGGTGTAGCCACATCACTCAGCGCTATTCCTCTCTCCTTCCAACGCTGCACACAGCCTGCAGATGGTTTCGGCAGAGACAAACTCAGCGACTCTTGCTCAAAGGCCTCGACCTTGATGGTTCGCTCGGTCGTCACTAGGCTGATGTCCTTGACTGACATTGACTGCATGGACTCGTCATGTCCAAATGCCTGCACACGCACTCGTTGATGGCTGAGGGTCTTGGCTCCAACGGCCGAAACCAGTGCTGTGGAAACAAAGGATGCCTGGGAACCTGGGTCCACAAATGCTCGGACTTTCCTGCTCCCGGTGGGTCCAACGACCTTAACCACTGCCGTCATTAGGCGCACATCCTCATTCCGGAATGACACGGCATTCACAGTCCTCCCGGGTGGGTGCAGTAGCGGGTGGTGCTTCTCCTTGCACTTGTTGCACTTGGCGCTCTCATTGCATCTAGCCTGGCGATGTCCCCATCTCAAACAGTTCCGGCACAACCAGTTCTGGTTCACATACTTCTGGCGCTCCTGATACTCCAGGTCGCCGAGGGCTCGCTCAGCAGCATCCACGGTGACTCGAAACGACTTCGCTGTCACTATGTCACCCTCCAGTGCGGGCTTGGGCTTTGACGCGTGCCCACGTGCTCGGCCATGTGCCTCTTGGTACGACGTACCTGCCGCTTGAAAGTCACCAAATGTCATCGAGTAACATTTCCTTTCAAGCATAAACGCCTTGAGTTCAGGACTCCCTGCCTCCAGCACCAGCTGCTTGATCAGGGCGCCCATGACGCGCTCATCTGCTGCGCCGAATCCATCGTCATCAGCCTCACCGTCATCATCATCACCCGCACCACCACTACAGTCCACACCACCTGTGAGCTTGGCCCACAGGCAGACCTCTTGTGCAATCCGCACACAGAACTGGTAAAAGGACTCTTCCGGGTTCTGATGCGTCGTGGTGAGCGCTCGCCAGGCCTTCTCCGGCGTCTTGCCGAAGGCGAGCAGCAACTCTCTCTTTGCGTCGTCATAACGACGGCAACCTTTACACGACTTCTCCAATCGTGTCCCCACCACCGCCACTCTCAGTCGAATCAGCCACTCATCCTTGGTAAACCCATTCTGGGTGGCCACGTCCTCGAACAACTCGAGGTACGTGGTGATCGACTGCCGATTGTCATATTTCGGCATCTTGATAGTCGCACGCTTAGTCACGTGACTCGTAACACTACTGGTACTCGCCAGTCTGCTCCGCGGACCCTCCGCTTGCGATACCGACTCGACCTCACGTTTGATGTCGGCCAACTTCTGATCATACTCCTCCCGCAGTTGGGCCACGGACCGGGTTTCCGCTCGTTCGTTTCTCTCTTTAACTTCAGCCAAACGAGCATCGACATATTCTCTGAGGTCATTCTCCTTATAACCGTACGCCGTACCGTTTCTGATAAACGTGGCCTCCAGATCGCCTAATTCTAACGATGCCATCCTGGCGTGGTCGCCAAAAAATGTGGCCAACAAGGCTCTTCAATAATACTTCACACAAGGGTCGTAGGAGACATCGTAGGCAACCTGGTTCCAACAATCACTCGATTGAAAGACGAAGAGACAAAAGACAAACGACAAGAAAACCTGAACAAGAAGGCCCGAAAAGGACCAAGATGTCCAGAAAAGGATAAAGAAAATAACGTAGTACCAAATTATCGTACAACACAGCAAGATGCGGGGGAACCATGCGCGCGACCGCGCGGGTTCACAAAAGCTCCCGTGAAACAGATATGGATACGTGATGTCAAAGAAAGCGAAAGGGTCAGGAGTACAAATCTGACACGGCTTCTAGATATGGATACGTGATGTCAAAGAAAGCGAAAGGGTCAAGAGAACAAATCTGACACAGCTTCTAGAAGACACACTACACTACTACGTCATGAGTACGCGACTGCACAGTCAGCGTAACTATAGAAAATATGGCGACTGGTCTGCAAGCAACGACCAGGTGCAGAACAAAATCAAACAAACAGAAATATTCAAAATACGGTTGTGAAAGAAAGAAGAAAAGAATGAAGCTGAAGGGTTACACCTGTCAGAGGGTGTTAGCACCCGACGCTGGGTGACAGCAAACCCTGTCAGGTAGTGGTAAATAATCCTAACACTTCTGCAGCAGAACTTCAATCGCAGCGAAAATACATCTCAGGTAAGAAACTCTAAAACTCTAGCAATAATTCGAGCGTCTCAATCTATCGTGATCCACTCGCAACATACGCATGCAAACAACTCGAAACAGAGAATGTATCGGTCTGCGACACCGGCTGTCGACAACTATATCGACGATCTATATGTACCCAACAGGGGCGTACATAGGGCGGTTCCCGGGATGCCCGGGAACCAGTAAAACAAATTCGATATGGGTACAGAGAATTTTTTGATCCTGGCCCAGCGCTAGTAATAGTAATACTAATAGTAGCGCGCTCACAGACTCACAGTGCAAGTGCATGCAGTGCATGTCTGGAGTCCGCCTACCGGTCCGAGGACGGTAGCCCAGGTGTGAAAGTGGTGCTGGGAGTGGGACACAGCGTAGATCTACTGAACTGGGCCATGCCTGAACCCATCATGGGTTCAACAAAGTCTCTAGTCTAGTTACCGGTACATCGCCGGATTCCTCGATCTCAGAGTCAAATTTTCTTTTGGAGTTTGTTTTGACAAAGTTGGTCGTGTTTTGACGATGCTTTCGCTTTGTGGAAAAGAAAAATGAAGAGTCGACATCCAGAGGGCCAGCGCTCTATTCAGAGCTATTTTGAGCTGCAGGCAAAGTGTGTAGCCAGTGCTAGTGGCAAAGGTCAAGCGATAGATGAGAATGCAGACGCACCTGACGTGCAAGTGAAGTATGCATGCAACGAGCAGCGCTGAGGAAGAAATCGTCGGCGAAGCTGTAGAGCGACCGTTGTTGGAAGCTGCTGGATCATCCAAAACTTACTTCAATGACATGGGAGTGTGTTGGAAGGGATATTCTGAAAGTCGACGTCCACAGTGGAATCCAGTCCCCCGAAATTTGCTGGACACGGAAAAGA